CCTATTTGCGTGGTCCTACCCCTAACAGGCTGCCAGGTGTGTTAGATGCTTATTACCTGGTCTTACCAGTCTCCCAGTCACTGCACCAGGGCTGCTGTGTGGGACCCGGCCTTAATGAATGACATGGGCAAACACCCCACCCCTTAATTCCATTGCAATCTGAAGTGTGGGGTGCTCAGGATAGCTGGGGTGTACCTAGTGTTGTACATGGGCTGTACATGGCATTGTTCCTGGGTGCACCCCGGTGCGCATGGGGCTGCTCTGAGTTGAACCAACATGACAGCACCTAACTTCAGGGTCACGGGCTGAGTTTGAAGGGGTCATGGACACTCCCAAAGCAATCCCACGTTCCTCCAACCAGCTGATGGACACAGGGGGTCAGAGAAACCACTCCTGTGAGCACACCTCCAGGAGGCCCACCCCCTACAGGGACGAGGGACCCTGACACTTTCTCACAGTGGGGACATGACCATCTCTTGATGACACTGACCTTCCCTTTCTAACTGAAGGTGGCCCTGAGGGCCTGTGCGACCCAGTGTGGCCCAGACGAGTTTGAGACGTGGGGCATCTGCTGCCAGAAGTGCCCACCTGGTGAGTGTCCTGATGCTTCCAGAACATTCTGGGACAGAGCTCTGAGCTGGGAGCCTGGGCTGCAGGCGCTCAGAGCAGAACTGGATGAGGGAGCCAGGTCACTTCAGGGACCAGCCTGGGCAGCTTCTCACACCCTGGGAGAAGAGAGGGGTGTGTGGCCACTGAAGCAGGACACTGCAGGACAGAAGAGGCTGTGTCCCAGGCCCCTCCCAGCATTACCGCCCCTCCAGCCCTCCTGGCACCAGGGGGTCCTCAACCCAGCTGCAGACGGAGGCCCCCGGGCAGGTGCCAGACCCACCAGCTCACCTGTGCCTGCTTCGACGCCAGCAGTGCACACTCAGTCCCTCGAGCCTGATGAGCGACTGAGGCTCAGCCCTGCACCCTCACCACCCGGGCCCACACACTCTTACACGCTCACACCACCTTCACACTCACGTGCTCACACTCAGCCCGGCTTTGGGAAGAGGTGTCATCACTGGCCTGCTGTCCTCGCAGGTCTCAGGATTTAGACCCCGAGGGGCGGGCCAGAGCTCTCTGGGTTGAATTCCTGCTAAACCTGGAGCACTGCGCACTGAGCCCGGGGCTCCGGGACCTGGGCAGACACTTGGTCCCCAGGCTCG